ACGGCGGATCGAATGGTCGACTCAGAATGTTTGTATCTGTTATGGTTCTCTCTCCGTGATAGTGTAAAGTGACTCAGACTGAAAAAATAAGACTTTTTGAAGGGACACGGACGTATTTTTTAAGGGTTTTTAATTTTTTCTGTGTGGATGAATCAAATGGAAATATAATGAACTATTTTTGTGATTTTTTGTGGCACGAGATGAGTGAAACGGATAGCGCAAGAATTTTATTTTTGTGTTTTTTTTGGTGTTTTTATTTCTGATACTAAGGAAATGAGATGAGATGAGATAAAAACAAGGCAAATCTATTCTAAATCCGTGAGGTCTATGATTATAGAGTTGGGTTGAGGCGGAGAACAAGCAGTGAAAGGTGGAAGAGTGTAGTAGCGGACAGTTCTAGACAAGATGTTAGTAGGAAGAGTTCTATATTTAGGGGTTTCTTCTAACGCTGTAAAGAAGTTATTCCTGTTTGTTTCTACTGTTTTTTCTATGATAGACTCGTCTTCTTCTACAAGATTTATGAGGATGTATTCAGGGGAATAGGTAGAATGAAGGGTACAATGGTAGCGCTTAGTTTCTATGTAGTTCCAGAATCTATCTTCTGCTTCTGTTACTTTCACTTTTTCTACTCTTTCAATAACTGTAATGTTATCCGGGTGGTTGTGGTAATATCTACTAGCTTCTTCTGCAATTGTACTATCTATTTGTCTAATAAATGGCAAAACTTCCGGCATTTGTTCTTCAGAAGGCCATTGTTAGTAGTAAATGTTTTGGGGACAAAAGGTAAAAAGAAGCACGGAGATATGTTAGTCACGGAATTCCAATTAGGCCAGACCCCCAATTGTCAGCCTCTGGGTAACTAACCTGAGTATTTAATAGTAAAAAGGTTGTTACTATGAGTTGACTGAAGTTTTTGAGCGTGGTGAGTGTTAGGTAGTGGGTGATTAATACCAGTCCTGTAAAGAGGAGGTGTCACTCTATCAGTATGGTCTTTACTGAGAGGCTTGCTATCAACAGCGCATCCGGATCAATACAAGGTATTAATAGGCATCCAGGGTACTAAGACTCACCTGGGATTGATTTGGTTATTCCCCAAAGGGAATGGGCTAACAATACTTATTAAGCTTTAACAAAATTAGTTGAAGATTAACAGGTATTGTTGATGGGAATATTCAGCAAGGCTATGAATACTGTGGATAAGTTGAGTAAGAGTACTGAAGCTTAAGAACAATAAATGTAGACAAGATTTATGTTGGTTACGGGTACTGTATCAATATAAATGTTAACTGGTTTAACTGGTGTCTGAATATTCTGGGGATTAATCAGTGAAAGAGGCACGGATTATAAGTTCCAGAATATTGAAGGGGGGAAAGAATGAGCGCTCAGAATCAAGGGAGCTTTGGCCAGGAGAATGAGCACATCAATTGAGTGACTGATCATTATTTGTCATGATCTGTAAGTGACATCATAATTGTGTACTAGTTGATCAATGTACTAGTAGCTCTTGATGCGTGTACTTAACAGATCCTCTAATAATGTAGTCATAATTGTGATCAGTGCATGTATTGAATGTATTAATTCTATTGACACTTAATACTTATTATTTAATACATGTACATATTTATTTGTAATAATATTTGACCGTGAAAATACTGTAGCAGAGGGATAACTTGTGGTACAGGTATTTCACGGACAAGGGAGTGAAAGGTAAGTGATAATTACTTATGTAGAACACAGGTATGTATTTAATAGATAAGTAATTAACAGATAAGATAACTGTAAGATAAATAAGATAAGTTAATAATAAAGATAAGATAACAAGAGGTAAAGGTAATCAACATTATGGATAAGTACTTATGTACATAAGTACAGGTGTTGCAGTTACTTGGTACATGAAAGGTACTGTGACATGTACTCTGTGGCTGACATTCTTCTTCTGATTATCTTCTTTGGTCTTCCGTTTCTTGTTCTTCTCAGCGGCTTTTTCTTCAAGTTTCCTCTTTTTTTCAATGTGTTCAAATTCCGACGGGTCCCGTGTTGTTGATTTGGGTTTGTTCAGAGCTCCTTTGGGTCTACCTCGAGTTGATTGCACCTGCTTCGGTAACTGAAGGTCGACAACTGTGGCAGAGCCGTCCAGAAGTCGAGAGATCACGTCAAGCTGTATGGTTAACGTGCTCGGGTTTGTTTGGAGGAGCCTTTGCTTGACGGTTTCGATCTGGTCTAGGGCTTGTGGGTTGTTTTGTCCCGGATTGTTTGTTGGTTGGATATCCTGTTGTTGATTAAAAGGAAGCACTATGTTATTAAGGACTCTAAGAGCTGAAAAATGTAACAAACGTACGTGGATATGCCATTGTTGGTGAAAGTCTTCTGGTTCCAACCGTCCGCCTGACCGAGCCAACTGTGCTAGGCAATGTTTACACGGAATACCTGTCCGGAGTCGATGAAAGCCGTTACAATGATCCTTCTTCCCGAGGTTTGCTGATATGCGCAGGTTGTTTTGTGCCTTCCTCAGAGCAAAATGGGTGATCCGGCCAAGGCAATTGTCAAACAGGGAACCGAGATTCATGAGAGCGTCCATTTTTTCCTGGCGGTGGAGGGAGCTTATGTTGTGTACTTGGGTTTTGATGGCGTTGGTGATCATTTTGATGGTCGAGTTGAGGGATTGATTGGGACCAAGGAGATGTGATTTGACAAAGGAATGTGAAGATTCGATCCGAGATGTGGTCCGGTGATCGAAATGGGGCACTTCCCTCGTCCAGGTGTTTGCATATTTCTCCGCAACTGGGAGCCAGTTTGAGCGCATGTAATTGCCAAATTTCTCCCCATAACTTCCAGCGAATCGGTCAAAGGCGGCCCTGAAGTCCCTGGTGGTCGTGATTTTGATGAGATTCTTACAGTGTTGAATCATTTCAGCCTCCTTCTTCTTGTCCTTGATCATTTTGGCCCCGTTAGAAATCAGGTTTTTGTTGATGTGCCAGGTACACAGTAGATGAGTCACGGTGGGGAAAACGGAGTCGAGACCATTCATAAGCGCTTGTTCCCGGTCGGTCAGGACTACCTCAGGGATAGGAATATTGTTGCTAGTGAACACGTTGAGCAGAGATTCAAGAGCCCATTTGTAGTATTCTTCGGTTTCTTCGTGAAGGAAAGCAAAGGCGACACTGAAAGATTTGTTGGATCCAGTGACGCCCGCAATGTGGAGGAGGGGCATGCGATACTTATTTGTCTTGTAGGTGCAATTGAGGAATAAGACGTAGTGGAAATGACGGAGGAGCTGAAGCGAGAGGTTGTGACAGAAGAAAAGACCTAGAATCTTTCCAGAATCATTTACCTTGGTTGCTGAGGTGAAGTCCGTCGTGAGGGTTTGATTAAGATGAACTATCGGGCTGAGACCACGTTGTGGTAGCTGAATGTGTAAAAATTCAAAGTTTTTTATTATTCTTTTCTATCCCTCTTTTTTCTTCTACACCACTCACTTACACACCTCAACTACATGTCAACACTCAATCACCACCAACACATCAACAATTACATATCACACACTATACATATGCACATTGCGGGACAACTACACTCTCTCACCAGCATAGTACATAAGTATACACACCACTCCACCATCTTCTGACATATTGACACATGCAGTGTTGGTCTGGAACCCCTCTGGATTTACAAGTGACATCATGCAGGTTGTCATGTCATTTGTTATTCTTCCTTGCAGCTGTCACACTATCTCACACCACTCATGTAATCTTCATCACCCCATCTTAGTTTGCAGACTAGTACAATCACCTCATGTAGCATGCTACACCAGCATAAAACCCTCATGTAGACTTCTAGTTCAGGCTAAAATGACTCTTATGACATCATGTAGGTTGCTCAACCAGCCAAAATACCTCATGTACATGTCCTGACTAGCTAAATCCCCTCATTGTAAAGCTCTGGCCAGCTAAAATCTCTCATTCTCTTGTTCCCCTGAAGCTAAAATCCCTCACCTTTGTGTATTTAAGGAGGCTCTCCTCCCAGTTGTTTTTCCCCTCAGTTTAGTACCCACAAATCACATACCCCCTACCATTACATACCATACCATTACCATTACATACTGTAACAACCTTTACAACACCCAATAACAACCCTTACACTTGTAATACACACTAAACTCACTCTCATACTCTCAAAACTCTTCTCTCACACAATTAAATTGTGATCAAACAACTTATTCTCGAACCAACCACCCCTATCTCTTGATTAAAACTTGCCAAGCTGAGCTTGGTGGGTCTTGTTATCTGATAGTACAGAAGGGCAGAGTTTGCAACTCCATCATACCCTTCTCCATTCAGCAAAAGGGTTCTCACAACCACTTTTGAGTCTTACAAGGGATTCCCCAACGTGATAGGGATTCTTTGTTTGATCGACATCGATTAACGAATTTCAGCAAGAACAAGAAGCCATCGTCAAAGGATCACTACTTCTAGCGGCGAACGGATCAAATTTATCAACTCAATTCTGTATCACTCAATGGTATATTCAGTTATCCTGTTGACCAACCAGTTAACCTTCATAAACCATTCAAAAAAATTACCATTAATCTCCTGAAAAAGAGCAATTACTAACCTTGAATTAACCATAATAATTTTTACAAACCAGACCTGAAAAGAGTACCTCAAAGGAAAAAGACATTTATACACCTTAAGAAGGGCAAAGAGACCTGAAGGATTTGGATAACTAGGATCCTGTTAGAAGAGATCTCCGGAACTATTTGAAGGAAGCAGCTGCTTATATCCCAGAAGAAAGGTAATAGAGACCTGAAGAATTTGGATAAGTAGATCCTGTTAGAAGAAGAAATTCCCAGTTACTGCTAAGTATTTTTATTTATAAACCCTCCCAACTTGCCCTGGTGAAGACACCAGCGACCATAACAGTTTTTTTTTCAGCAGATTTAATAGGAAAGTTTCAACGGAATGTTTAATCAAGACAAACCGGAAGCATCAACATCAATCAACATGAGTTTGCCATTCAGTACACCGGATTTGGAAGATGGATTTGCACCATCAACCCCTTTGAAGAACCGACCTTTTGCGCCACCTTCAGCCTTCAACTGGACTGCGGAAACTTTGGTGCCACCCCCTCCTAAATTAGACAAAGGAAAGGGGCCAGCGCATCAACTCAGAGACCCCACAGACGAAGACTACGACTCAGACAACCCTACTCCTCAGAAACAAACAAACCCACCTAGACCATCAGTTTCTGGGTACGGGATTCATAATACCCAAAACATGGGGGAACCGGTTTTCAATCGACAACACCAACCACCGGTAAACCCTCAACCTATATATCAACAACCAATTTATCAGCCAACACCAAAAATCATCAAGGAACCTGGACTCTTCTACAATGGGGAAAACTTTTCTCGGTTTCTACAACGGTTTGAACGTGCAGCACATGCATTTGGTGCTACTGATTACGACAAGGCGCTTCAGATTGGACGATTCATGAAAACTGAAGAACTTCGACTCCAACTAGAAGCTATGGAAGGGTACAAGACATACGATTGGACCAAATTGCAGGAAGAAATGAATAACATCTGGGGCGATTTGGACAACAATATCTTGTACACAACCAACGACCTAGTTAAAGTGGCGGAAGAATACGGAAAGAACGGAGGAATTAGGACTCATAAGCAATACAAATCCTATTTGACGAAGTTCACCACGATACTTAACTACTTGGTCACCAATCAACATCTACACAAGAAAGAAGATGCTTCAATCCTCTTCATGCAGGCATTTGCTCCGGAAAGTCAAATGAATGTAAAACGAACTTTGGTTGGATATGATTTAATTCCCAAGGCACCCGATGGAAGTACTCTACCACCCTTGTGGGCTCATCTCATTAAAGCAGTCAACATGGAAGTACAAGCCATTGAACCGGGAAACTTCAATGTTACCAATTTTTCTGAATCAAATCGATTAATGCAGAAGAAATTGGACCTCCAAAAAGGCAATGGACAACGACGGGAGCGGATGATTGCGGAAGCTCCAACTGGAAAACCTGCGGTTGGAAAAACTGTTGAAGATCTTTCACGTGAAATCGCTTCTCTCCAACAACAGTTAAAAAGCATTCTTCCAGTCAGTTATAATCAACCTGGAACCTCTGACAAACAGGAATTTTCACGTGGAAATCCTAGGCCTTCAACACCGCTCTATGAAAGTCTAGTATGCTACTACTGCAGGAAGGAAGGACATTCAACTACCCGATGCCTCGAGTTGGCAAAAGATGAAGCTGAAGGACTAGTCAAACAACAAGGAAAGGACTGGTACTTACCCAATGGACAACACATACCATGGAATCCATCACGACCAATACAATCAGTAGTTGCAACTGCTTCAGCGGATCCCCAAATACTAGAAGCTGCAAGACGTTTAGTGGAGTCTAGGAACACTGCAGGAGCAGCGACAGAACCTACTCCAACCATGAAGAGTTCAGTGCAAACCATTCACTGGGCACCACCAGAACTTGGAGCGCAAAACTTTCTGAAGAACCAGGCCATCACACGGTCTGAAGCGCAACGAGGACGTCGAAGTGTTAGGATCCAGGAACCCCAAGAGGATAGGATGGAGGTCGATCAGGAAGACGAAGTGGCCGACATTGCTAACAACTCTCCCAGAACCACACCAAAAACAACATGGGTTAGAGAAAAGACACCAGCAAGAAATCAGTCAGCAAATCCAGAGGACGTCTTGTTGCAGGAATTGGATCATATGAAAATTCCTACTACCTTTTCTCAACTCACAACAATTTCTCCGACCTATACCGAAAAGGTTATTGCAAAACTTCAAGAACGGCTTCCTGGAAAAAGTAGTGCCACATATGTGGCCACACCAACCACAAAAGCGGCAGCCGCTATGACCACAACGGTGGAGGAGGAAGACACATCAGATCCTTGCTACTACAGCTGCGCCTTAGGATATGTTACAGCCGAAGTTGGGGGAGCTAAAGTTGACTTCATGGTTGATTCTGGATCCATGGTGAATGTTATACCTCGAACGGTAGCGGAAGACTTGGATTTGGAATTAGTTCAAGTTGACATACCAATGAAAGGAGTAGGCGGAGCCAGATGTGATTTAAATGGAGTGGCGGAAAATTGCTACATCGGAATAGGACGATTCGCCGGACCAGCCCATCTCTTTGTTTCTCCAAAAGCCCAGGACTGCATCTTAGGACGACCTTTTCTTTTTGACTACGGATGTACTCTGGAATACCACGAAACCGGTGAAACACTTTCTTTCCAAGGAACCAAGGGAAGAAGGGTTTCAGTACCTCTAGCCAGGATTGGACAAGGAAGGGGTTGGGACAATCGAAAGGACCTCAGCACCAACACAATCAAACCAGTCCAAAAACAAGAAACAACGGGCGAAGAAAATCGAATGTTCAAGAAGAAATCTACGCAGCCTTTTTTATAGATTCCGGTGTTCAATTAGGGAATAACTCACTAACGCTAGTCAAGCGGGTTTTATCTCGAACGCCGGGTTTTCTAGACTGGCTCAAAACTTTTTTCTTGGATCTGTTTAAAAAGCTACCAAAACAAACAAAAAAATATTTCTTTAAGATAATGTTACAAAAAAAGAACATTCTGATTATTTTCCTTCTTCTTCTGAAAATTTGTAAAACAGGAATAAAACAACCCACCAAATCTCAAGATGCTACTATCAGAAGTGACTTAGAAGTGATTTCAACCTCTAATGCAGCCAAGATAGTAGCAGAACCAAGGAAACAACTCAGCTATAAGGATATGGGATCATTATTGGCAAAAGGATTGGGCTTGACGTTTCAACAGAAGCTATGCCAAAGTTGGAAGGAAGGCAGCCTATGGTGTATGACCAAATACAAACCTGTGGCACAAAAAGTCCGACCAATAAATCAGCCCATTCCTCAATTTCTCAACCCACCTCTCAAACGGCCACCACTTTCAAGGGATCCTTACAAAACACCACTTACACCTAACCCTCCGGAATTTACGCCTACTGCCAAAATCACGGAAGAACGACTAAAAGTGGTAAATTTTGGACCCGAAGGATGGCTTTCAAACGAAGAACTAAAACTTTTCAAGCACTTAATTGTCTTAAGGGAAAAAGCATTGGCATTTTGCATGGAAGAAAGAGGGCTTTTGAAACACTCTTATGGCTTACCTTATGTCATACCAGTAGTGGATCATGTTCCTTGGCAAAAGAAACCAATACCAATCCCAGCAGCAATAAAAGGCGAATACGTGGAACTGGTACGGGAACGAATACGGACAGGACTCTACGAACAATCAACCTCAAGTTACTCAAGCCCGGTTTTCTGTGTTGCGAAACATGATGGGAAGTTAAGAATTGTTCATGACTTACAAGAAATGAATAAAGTTACCATCAAAGACGCGGGATTACCACCGGCCACAGAAGAATTTGTCGAATCATTTGCTGGACGGGCATGCTACGGACTCGGGGATATTATGGGCGGTCCATTTAGCACTCTTTATTATCCCTATGGTACTCTTTTTCAGTAATGTGCCGCAGCACATAACTTAGGATAGACATAGAACAAGTTCTTCTATCTATCCGAGTGTGGGTGGTAAATAAATTTCTTTTATCTATTTTAAATTTTGTGTATTTAAAACAAGAAAAGATATTTAGGGACCACGGGAAAGAATTAGTGTGTTACAGAAGAATATTATTTATCTTCTTCTTTGAGTCAATTATATTAAAGCATAATCAAAAGATTATGGAAGAAGTAGGTTTATGAAACAAGCGTGCCAAACAAGCGGTGAAACTCCTCAGAAAACTACTTCTGTTTTGTAGGGTGGGTGGGAGGTTGATAAAAAATTGTTTATAGGGAAAAAATTTTTGTAAGTAGAAAAGTTGGTGATAAATAAGATTGGTGATAATAGTATGAGTAGTGGGGAGAAAGATTCTTGGGTTGTTCGAGACGGGTGTCTAGAAGTAATCCAGAATCTTTCTATGGCACAGGATCATTCCTATCACGTTTCAGACTGGATAGGAACCACCTTGCGCCTGTCCTAGGCCAATCTTAATCGTGCACATGGACCCCATCACCTTCCCTTTGTGCCTTGGTCAAGTGCTATACATCCATTTAGCACTCTTTATTATCCCTATGGTACTCTTTTTCAGTAATGTGCCGCAGCACATAACTTAGGATAGACATAGAACAAGTTCTTCTATCTATCCGAGTGTGGGTGGTAAATAAATTTCTTTTATCTATTTTAAATTTTATGTATTTAAAACAAGAAAAGATATTTAGGGACCACGGGAAAGAATTAGTGTGTTACAGAAGAATATTATTTATCTTCTTCTTTGAGTCAATTATATTAAAGCATAATCAAAAGATTATGGAAGAAGTAGGTTTATGAAACAAGCGTGCCTAAAAACTCAGGTGGAAATTTCTACTGATGATAGGAGCCTGAGCCCTGTGATCTAACCTACTACTCCGACTCATTTAGACATTTAACACATAACTAATCTTCCTTCCACAACTCGTTCAACTCGTCTATGATTCTTTTACTTTCTGTCGTGTCTTCAGCGCTGTACTCTCTAATGTAAAGCCTATAACAGTTCGAGATCCATCTCCCCAGGAGACATATTTCTTCAACAGGTGTTCCTAACGCGTAACGCAGGGAAGCGCCTCCAACTCGGAAAGAATGACCTAGTAATCCTTCAAAGCCTCCGGTTCTGAGGACTAGTTGAATTCGGTTTACTGCTATCGATCGCGTGATATGCTTCCTGTCCCTATCGCGGTAAAAACCGAATAAAGATGTGTCGTTCCCATCTGCCGCCTTCATCCGCCTCTTGATTGCTAAGACCGGACATAGCATGTTCTTCAAGCTATGTAAAATGATTTGTTGAGGTTTCCCCGGCTGTGCTTTCTTCGCATTCCTTATCGTAAGGATCACCTTTTCACCGATAGCCGATTTTATCAAGCGTACGTCCGACGTTAAAACCGAGTCTTGCTTATTCAGGTCGCCGAATGGTTTCTCGTATGTCAACTCGCCTATCCTCGCCATCCCCCAGAAGGCCACGATCGCGAGGTCTAAGATAGCCTTGTCTATGTCCCCACTTGGGAACATCACGTTCGATAACCAGATCAGATGTTTCAACATGATTGGAGGTTTTTTCGGCTTGGGTGGTAAAGTCGCATCAACTCGGGCCGACGCTTTCAACAGTAGTTCGATCCTTTTATCCAAAATGTCCGGGTACTCTACGCTGTGAAATGTGTGCCATGCTTTCAGCCCACACAAATACTTTTTGATTGAGCTTGACGATATCTTGTACGAGTTGTTGAGGTATAAGTTTCTTCCTGCCCAAAAGCAGAAGTCTTCTATATCTTTAACTGTTGCCGGTAACACAAAATTATGATCTCCCGACAAATTTTTAAAGAAAATGAACTTCTTTACAGCAGCATTGTATCCGACTATCGTATTCCATTTCCATCCCGTGAGGAGATGCGCGTTTAAGGTAGAGATTGGGTAGTGTGTCGTTCCATTAGCCGCAAAGGCTTTAATCTTGTTAAAATGCCCTCACATCATCCCTGACATGATTTCCCAGATGGGAAATCTTGTAAATTTTAGGGAAACCCTGTAAAAAAATTACAGATTTTTCCAGATTTTTTTAGATTTTTTCAGATTTTCAGATTCTTCTAGATTTCTTAGATTTTTCTAAATTTTTTAGATTTTTCCAGATTTTTTAGATTTTTTTCAGATTTTTCAGATTGTTTGAACTTGTTAATTTTTTTCAACTTTATAGATGTCTCTTACAAAAAAATCTGGAAAAATCTGAAAAATGTGGAAAAATCTAAAAAATTTAGAGAAATCTCAAAGCTCTAGAAAAATCTAAAAAAATATGGAAAAATCTAAAAAATTTAGAAAACTCTAAAAAATCTGAAAGAATCTTTAATTTTTTTCCTTTAATTTTTTACAGGATTTCCCTAAAATTTACAAGATTTCCCATCTGGGAAATCATGTCAGGGATAATGTGCCTACTGTTAATGGCTCGCTGTCAATAATGACTAAGTCTTCTGATGAATCTATCATGTTGATTTGTTTGAAATTTATGGTCTACCCTAAAATGCTAAGAAACGAAAAAAGAAAAATTTATTTTATGACTATAAATTGTGAATCGAGATCAAGGAAGATTTGGTACAACAGATTATCTTTCTGATTGGAGATCCCTTAAAAGAAGTATCCTAATCGATTATCAGGAGAGATGACAGTTAAACGAGTGTGAATTCAGAGACCCAGCGTGTACTATATACAGTTATGTATCATTGGCAAGGGTTTGACTGGTAGCTATGCGTGGCGTAAGTAACCCTTCCACTCAATTGGGATTGGAAAATACACTCTGTTTCCTTCTTTCAGGTTACCCAATATACCCCTAGACAAACCGTCTGCCCGGTTATCCCCTGATTTTACCCTTCTTGCCGTCAACTCGATCTCTTCACTTATTAGGAAATCTTGTATGACTTTCCACTCGTCGTTTACTTCAGTATTGCCCGATTTCCTCTTGAGGATCGCTGATTCGGTCGTTGTATTATCCGTCCAAACCAAAACATTTGATCCTTTCCGCAACCGGTTCATCTGTTTCAACATGATGAGCCCTACTCGGACTGCAACGGTTTCGAGCCAAGCAATGTTTCGTTTCCGTAGTCCTTTGAATCGATCTTGAATGATCCGGAGTTGACTCCAGTGTTTCCCAATTAAGACTCCTATGCCAAAACTAGTCGATGCGTCGCCTACCCAACCAATATCAACCGGGTCGGCTGAGGAAATAAGTCGACTGTGTTTGAAGTTATTCAACGTATGTATCCATCGACCAAGATCTAGTAAGACATCTTCAGGTGAGAACCTTTTTGCGTCCAAGTCAAACCAGTCGCACATCCACCTATAGAGGCTCCTCAAATAGCATCGGAGCTGAGGTAACATATGAGACATGATTTAGACGACCCGTCAACACCTCTACCTCGTTAAATGAGAATTTTCTAGTCTTGTCTAGGAATTCGAGGATCTGTTTCTTCCTTTGTTCTAGTTTTTCTTCTGGGAGGCGTACTGTTTTTGTCACTCCGTTCCACAAGAAGCCAATGAATTTTTGTTCCTCGGAGAAGGTCGAACATTTCTTTAAGTTCGTCAGTACTCCAAGTTCAACTGATCTGTTTACAATATCTATCATATCCGTCTTCGAGCCCATTTTCTTGACGAAAAGGTTGTCGTCCACCCATCTGAAAACTTTGATCAGGTCAAATTCTGCGAACATTATCTCTTTCCATGCGTCCGCTGGTCTTCCGAAAGACCCGCAACCTGCGACTCCGCCAAAGGTAATCCTAGTGTCTAGGTATAGGTTCTCGTCCATTCCTTTAACCATCAGGTATGGCCACTGTGACGGATGAGTTGGGATCTGCCTATACGCTTTTTCCCAGTCGAACAAGGCCAAAAGGAGCGGTCCTTCTGAGAGCTTAAAGAAAGAAGAAACCTCATTGAAATCATCCCATGTTGTCTCGAAATCGTGTTTGTTCACGAACGAATTTACTGATGGTATCAATGGATCCCCGTGCGGAAAAGACAGATCGTTGATAGGCCTAACGGAACCGTCGCCGTTAACTACCGCCCCGAGCGGGTTAGTCCTAAAGAATTGAAACTTTGATTTCACTTCCTCAATTGTGAAGGGCCCGAACATCCTGTCAGCGGCAAGCTCTTTCTTCATTGAATCCCTGATCTTATCTTCTGCCAATCTTGCTGATAAATGGTTGTCAGGGGTGAAACAAGGCATGCCTTGAATCCTGTGAGTTGGAATCCCTTGGTCGAAACCGTCCCGGAAACCTAGAAGAACATCTTCATATTTAGATAGAATGCCTGCTTTTTGCAAGGCCTCTTCCCAAAGTTCTATATTCATCTCACATTTGACCCCTTGGGGCCACTCTATTCGTGCATTAGGGTTATCATCTGACTCTGCAAATGGGCGGCTTGATTGCACATTATCCGATGGATGCCTAGTCACAAGAGGGAAGCTGTCACAACAAAGGGGAGCAGAGGTGCACAATAAGGAAAAACAAAATGAAAGATCAATAACAGATTTACAACCAGAGAGAAACTGTTTGACATGTTTTCTAATGGTCTCAAGATAAGAAGGTCTTTCAGAGGAAAGTGGAAGATATGACAAGATGGAGACAAGTCGTGTGAGGTTCTATAAAAGAACGTGGACAATAAGATACGATAGCTGAAAGCTATGTGGGCCTTCAAGCTAAGATGCGGAAAAACCTCGGGGGTGTCTCAAGTTGACGAACACTTGGATGAGGAACCTACTTGTTGTGGTTGTTCTTTTTCCCGCTCGCTTGGCCGCCGTCGTTTCTGTTACCGTAGCCTTCTGTATAGTTACCGCCTTTATAACCACCTCGTGGCCTTTTCGCCCCGTTTTGGAAGCCTTGATTACCGCTCCCTCCTTGACCGTTTGTGTGGTGATTAGCTCTGGGATTGTAGCTATAGCTTCCGCTCATGTTACTGTTCATGTAGCCATTGGTAGGAGAATTCATCCAGCTCTGGCCTTGGAAATTTGGATTCGCAATCATCGCGTTGTTGTGGTGTGACGCTTGATACCCGTTGCCGTTTCTCAAAGGCTTCAGGTAACCGGTTAACGGGTCGTGATTGCTGTGCGAAAGGCCTGGGGCATACAAATTCTCCTCCCACTCCAGTTCACCAAAGTTGCGGCATGTGTTATAACATTGCTCAACTACCGACTCCTTCCGTTGAGAAATATCCGGGATTGCGTTTTTAACATCTTCGTTGGTTATTCTATGAGAGAACGTGTTGCTTCTGACTTCCATATTGTACCGGAAGGCGACCATGAAGCCGAATTCTTCTGTTATATCATCGCAATTATTCTTGTGTGTTGCTAATAACTTTGAGAATTTTATTATCTTGTACACGTCGTGGAGTGTCTTTGCAAAGGCTCTATGGTTGCGGCTCCACTGGGCGTAGGTTTGCGTCCATTCTTGGACGAAAGAGAAACCTTTATAGCCGCCAGATTTGTCCTTGTCAGCTGACAAGTCGTCGGATCTCTGGCGTCGGTCTAGATGGTGAGCCATGGCTCTTTGCTGCCATTTTCGGTTGAAGATCGTCAAGGGTAGCGGTGAACGCAGCTTCCGTATATTCTCGTCAAGGAATGGGGCGAAACCGACGCTATTGTGGTTGGTTACTGACCCGATAGCGTACACCAGGTCTCCTTCAGTCAGGAAGAATTTTTCTGGCTCTTGAGATTCTACATGGGGTCTGGTAGCTGGTTGCGTCGCGGTGACTTCTTTGGCGCCTAGATAGGTTATTTCTCCTGAATCGATCATGACAGGTCTGGCAAATATGCCCGCGTCTGAGATTTGTTTTGGAGCGTTCGTTCCGATACGACCTATCGCTTTGAACAGCATCTCTGCCAAGTCTTTGTCTCCCGACTCCTGCGCAGTAACCGCTCTGTCCCACATCTGTTGTCTCTCAGTCATGATGGATGGCGCTGCAATGGCTAATGACAGTCAAATAATATTAACGACATGTCTGAAAAGAACTGTAAAGAGGTGCAGTGGGGATTGCTCTACCTGGCGATCTATCTTCCTCTTCCTCGTCCACGGCTTGGCTATCAGTGATAGCACTGGTCGTTGCCTTAGCGGATGGATTTAACAATGCCGCGGGGGCTCGGTCTCTGCGATGTTCGCTCGTGTCTACTAGTGGGGAGTGCATTCTATCGTTCGCTTGCTCGCCTATATCATGATTGTAATTTGGGAATGCGGATTTCAACGCTCTATCTTAACCAGGATAAACCTTCAGATTACAACAGGGAACTTACCATCGCTGATCAAAACTCCTGCCCTCCCGTCTCCGGGGTTTGTGAGGCTGCCGTTTAAGGCTTGGACGTTGCTGCTGCCCTTATTGGCTTGGGTAGATGCGTCTGAGGTAGCGACGTTAGATCCACCGGGTATAAGAGAGTTTGCGATTGAGTTGTCTTCATTCCTGGTTTTCGACGACGAGGAGTCTTTGATCTTCTTCGAAGTTGCCCTGGTAGCGTTGACGTCGACCATTATGTAAGGATGTAGGGAGTGGGGGGTGTGGGTTCGATGGAAAGGAGATGTGTTGCTTTAACGAAGGTTTTTTGTTTCGATTGATGTCGTTTGTTTGATAAAAAATTGTTTATAGGGAAAAAATTTTTGTAAGTAGAAAAGTTGGTGATAAATAAGATTGGTGATAATAGTATGAGTAGTGGGGAGAAAGATTCTTGGGTTGTTCGAGACGGGTGTCTAGAAGTAATCCAGAATCTTTCTATGGCACAGGATCATTCCTATCACGTTTCAGACTGGATAGGAACCACCTTGCGCCTGTCCTAGGCCAATCTTAATCGTGCACATGGACCCCATCACCTTCCCTTTGTGCCTTGGTCAAGTGCTATACAATACGACGAACGCGAATTGGCTCATGAATCTAGGCCTTTGACCACTTTTGATACACCCTTAGGAAGATTTCAACTTACACGATTACCTCAAGGTGCAACCAATTCAGTTGCAGTATATCAAGCTCAAATGATGTGGATCCTCCAAGATGAAATACCAGATAATGTTGGTGTCTTCATTGATGATGGAGGAATCAAAGGCCCAGTTTCAACGTACGACAACCAGGTTCTGGAAGAAAATCCAGGGATTAGGCGCTTCATTTGGGAATATGCTCAGACACTGGAAAGAGTATTGTTTCGAATTGAAGAAGCTGGACTCACAATCTCGGGAAAGAAATTTGCATGCTGTGTACCTGCCCTGGATATTGTAGGTCACGTGGTCTGCAAGGATGGAAGGCGAGTTTCATTCCAAAAGCGGAACAAAATCACAACTTGGCCAACTCCAATCAACTTAACGGAACTACGAGGATTTATGGGGATAATAGTTTATGTCAGGATTTTTATCAAAGACCTGTCAGAAATTGCAGCCCCTCTCAGAAAACTCACCAGGAAGGACAACCTATGGACGTGGAACACGGAATGCGACCAGGCTTTCAACAAACTCAAGCAAATAATTGGCGAAGACATCACTCTCAAAAACCTGGATTACTCAGAAGGCGCAGGACTCATTATCTTGGCCGTGGATTCTAGTTTTTTAGCAGCAGGTGCTGTACTTTCTCAAGTGGAGTTGGATACTGGATTGGATCGACCTGTACTTTACGAATCAGTGGTTTTTTCTCCGGTGGAATCAAAATACTCTCAGCCTAAATTGGAACTCTGCGGTGTGGCTAGGATTTTGAAGAAACTACAAACATTGCTTTGGGGTCAACATTTTGAGCTTCGAGTGGATGCAAAATCATTAATTCAGATGATCAATTCTCCTTCACTGCCAAGTGCACCAATGACCAGATGGGTGGCTTTCATACAGCTATTTTCATTTGACATGGTACACAAACCAGGGAAAACATTCACTTTACCGGACGCCCTATCTAGACGACCCATCAGCGAAGAGGACGACGAATTTTATAATGAACCCGATGATTTTGATGAAGATGAACCAGTTATTAAAGTTTTTTCCCATCAAACCACAATATCAACACAGTCTTTTGAATGGGAGGGAACTGGATTCTGGAAAGACCTCAAGGATTATCTGAACACTCTGAAGAAACCTGAAGGATTAAACCCAGAAGAATTTCAGAAGCTCAAGCGGAAATCAGCAAAATTCTTCATTCAAGATGGGCGACTCATGCGAAGACACTCACCAATGGCTCAACTAGTTATTTCCAATATAGCTTACCAAAGTAAACTATTGTGGAAAGTGCACGAGGATCTTGGACACAGAGGACTAGAGGAAACCTATCAACGACTGATTTGTAGATTTTGGTGGCCTAGTTTGAAAAAGAAAGTCAAGCTATGGGTTCAAAGCTGTGAATCTTGTCAAAAGAGAGATCCACTAGTGCCTAGGGAAATTCGGAACCCAACAGGTGAAAGCAGTCTCTTTGGTCGAGTGGCGTTGGACGTTTGTCACATCAAGGCGGGACGATACAAATACTTGCTTGTGGCACGGGACGATTTATCTGGATGGGTGGAAGCTGCTCCTTTGGTCAAATTAACAGCAGCAACAATCAGTAAATTTCTCTTAGAAGAATGGGTCTATAGGTATGGCTCAATAAAAACAGTAACAGCAGACAATGGACCAGAATTCAAAGGAGAATTTATTAATGCTGTTAAAGCCATTGGAGCTGAGTACAAGCCACCTACACCTTACTATCCGGAAGCAAATGGAATGATTGAACGTGGACACCGGCCTCTCAAAGACACACTGGTCAAAATGTGTGGCGAATCTGGAGGAAAATGGCGGGAATATTTACCATTAGTACTCTTCTCAGACAGGATTTCAACAAAAAGGACGACAGGATACTCACCTTATGAGCTTGTGTTTGGACAAAAAGCTGTTCTACCAGTGGACATTGAGATGGATACTTATCTTGGAATAGACTGGGTAGAAGTGGACACAACTGAGGACCTTTTGGAAGCTCGAACCAAACAACTGGAGCGACGGGAGGAAATCTTGGCTTTGGCTCATGAAAAACTTATGAAAACCAGGGAATCTTCAATCAGATATTGGGACCGGCGAATGGCGGCTAGGCTACGACAACCTTTGGATCCGGGTGAATTGGTTTTGGTTTACAATAAAAGTTTGGAGGATCAATGGGGAAAACTTTTTTCTCACCGCTGGAATGGACCTTTCAAAATAAAGAAGCAATTACCTAAGGGATCTTACATTCTGGAAGAATTGGACGGAGTTGAATTGAAAAGAGCTTACGCAGCATCTCATGTCAAACGCTTTTACCCCCGTGGAAGAGAGCTTCATGAAATTCAACAGGATGAAGACCCGGAACAGGCGGATACTTCGGACGACGATTCTGGCGGCTCCGCATTGGACACCTCTGAATAAGTATACCTCCTGGGCATGAGACTAAACTGTTCAAACCTCCAAAAATTAACAACATCAGTTTCAAATCAAATTCTTTAAGTTTTTTTTTCAGCCTAATATTCTTTCATAAAGAAAAAACACATAAATCCAAAGAAAAAATCACTTGCATAAATATAAAAACACAAAAACATACGTAAAAATAATAAAATAATAATATACATAGGGCTCATCCAAAAAAAAAAAAAAATAAAAAATAAAAATAAAAAATGCATTCTTCAATCTTTTCTTTTTTTCTCTCACAGATTTTTCTCCTTTTCTCTTTCTTTCTTGCCTCAAAACAATTTCTCTTCTGTTTTCTTCCTCAGTAAAAACACCAATCCTTCCTAAAAACTTACCCAGATAAAAACTAGAATCAATCAATGTAATTGGTTTCATTTTTTTAAGTGGGGGGAGGAAACTCACCTGTACTTGGGAATATGGGGTTAAAAATTACTTAAGTTGGGGGAGGAATCTTTCCATCTTATTCCATCACCCTTCTTTCTTTCTTTGCTTTCTCTCTGGTAGTAACCTTACTAGTTGAGGATTGCTCCTCTTCTGTCATCCTCTGGGTAACTAACCTGAGTATTTAATAGTAAAAAGGTTGTTACTATGAGTTGACTGAAGTTTTTGAGCGTGGTGAGTGTTAGGTAGTGGGTGATTAATACCAGTCCTGTAATGAGGAGGTTTCACTCTATCAGTATGGTCTTTACTGAGAGGCTTGCTATCAACAGCGCATCCGGGTCAATACTTGGTATTAATAGGCATCCAGGGTACTACGACTTGCCTGGGATTGATTTGGTTATTCCCCAAAGGGAATGGGCTAACAATACTTATTAAGCTTTAACAAAATTAGTTGAAGATTAACAGGTATTGTTAATGGGAATATTCAGCAAGGCTATGAATACTGTGGATAAGTTGAGTAAGAGTACTGAAGCTTAAGAACAGTAAATGTAGACAAGATTTATGTTGGTTACGTGTAATGTATCAACATAAATGTTAACTGGTTTAACTGGTGTCTGAATATTCTGGGGATTAATCAGTGAAAGAGGCACGGATTATAAGTTCCAGAATATTGAAGGGGGGAAAGAATGAGCGCTCAGAATCAAGGGAGCTTTGGCCAGGAGAATGAGCACATCAATTGAGTGACTGATCATTATTTGTCATGATCTGTAAGTGACATCATAATTGTGTACTAGTTGATCAATGTACTAGTAGCTCTTGATGCGTGTACTTAACAGATCCTCTAATAATGTAGTCATAATTGTGATCAGTGCATGTATTGAATGTATTAATTCTATTGACACTTAATACTTATTATTTAATACATGTACATATTTATTTGTAATAATATTTGACCGTGAAAATACTGTAGCAGAGGGATAACTTGTGGTACAGGTATTTCACGGACAAGGGAGTGAAAGGTAAGTGATAATTACTTATGTAGAACACAGGTATGTATTTAATAGATAAGTAATTAACAGATAAGATAACTGTAAGATAAATAAGATAAGTTAATAATAAAGATAAGATAACAAGAGGTAAAGGTAATCAACATTATGGATAAGTACTTATGTACATAAGTACAGGTGTTGCAGTTACTTGGTACATGAAAGGTACTGTGACATGTACTCTGTGGCTGACATCTTCCTCCCTCTAAAAAAGGCTGATCCAAGAAATAAATTAATGTTATTTTCTTTTATCAGCTCTGTATTGTCTGAGAATTTTATCAGCATCAGGTATTTTATCAACTGTAAGCCATTCATCTTCTTTGGTACCACTGTATCTTACTAAATACTGTTTAATGTCTTCATTGTTTTTTCTGATTTTTCTATGTTGTAATATCTTCTTAATTTTAACTTCTTCTTTCTCTAAAGGAGGTATTACAACTCTGATGTTATCTTTTCTTAAAGGAAATTTATCATTATTACTAGTTTTGTATGGTTTAATTAGACTGACTGGAAATGTAGGGTGTTTTCTTTCTAATTCTCCAGTGAGTATAACTTCAACAGCATTTGCACCGTGTAATTGTTTGATTGTAAAAGGTCCTACAAAAGAATCTCTTAATTTTTTAGGTCCAGTCAGGTTTGTAAAATTAAATGTAGATATCAAGACTTGGTCTC